AATTTTTGCCGAGTGGACAAAGACGTGTGCGGCCTAGCATTGTCCTGCTGGAAAATGACACCTTTACGATCGACCAATTCTGGTCGCTTTTCCTTGACCGCTGCATTCAATCTGTCCAGTTGCTAACATTCACGGATAATAAAAAATAACATAATAATAATAATAATAATTTTATAATATAACATTTACGGATATCATAAAAATGGGAATGAGAGACATCTATAACTGAAATCGGCAATTACTTAGTTGCCAACCCAATATTTCAGCTTGAAAACGCCCTGAGTTGCCGCGTCAGACTTTATTATTTGTTCACACAAGAGTTCCATGAAACTGTGGTGAATTCAATTGTTCGAATAGAATTTTAATTACTGAAAATTGCGCGGATTACTGGACTCTTTCGTACACTTTCAGAATTTAAATGTAAGCACTTTGCAGCCGTTGCCCATGATGGTTCTGCATTCTGAACTATTGATCCTATCATGGTTCTGTGCATATGCTTTGTATAATTTTTGTAGAAAGTACAATTCTTGTGTAATTTTTAATATTTTCATTAGACCCGTTAGGGACAGCTTGTTTTTAAGAGAAAGCGAAAGCAGGCAGCCCGACGCTACGCCGCATTCGGTTAACCCTTTGCACTCGAAGCTATTTTAACCGTGAATCTGAAATATAATCTTTCTGACTTATAGTATTTTCATTTAAATGTTGCCGACCCAATACTTATATTCGGTGTACACGGTTCGAACACGTTTTTGTAATTACACTCGCCCCGCTTCACGCGTGATTATTAAATCGGTGCACACCATATAGCTCGATCCTCCTCGCATGATCCCGCCACAGCCGTGGTTGGTGCACCCACCAAATGGTTCGCTTCCGGTGTCGCCGGTTTGTATCCCGAGCGTGCGAATAATCGCGGTAACTTTGACACTGGCTGGAAGAAAAGAATGGCGCGAGGTTAACGGTAATGATCTCCCGCCGGCAAATTGCCGGCATATTAAACCGTATCATCGAGATAATAAATATTTCATTGTTTGCCGAGACCGATAACAGAATACGTATGTACCATACACAGTTGCGAAACGATCCGTGTTGTCCGATTAAGGCGCAAACATTGAACGTTCCAGCCAGCCTACCCGCCGTCTTCTCGAAGGGAAAGTAAATCATCGAGTGGTCGCCGGTATTGAGATCAATGCCTTTTCCGAGATCGCGTAACGCTACTGGCGTTCGATGCCGGATCGTTCGGCCGCACAGAGTCCCCCCCTCGTATCAACGGGCGATCTATGTCCGTTGATAATTACCGTGAAACACGGTGAAAGGACCGATCCTCTATGCAATTGTGGGCTCTTCGTGAATACTAAATCGCAATTACGCTCGCGATCCTGCCACGGGTACGTCGACTCTCGAAAGAATGCGGACACGCTTTTTACTTAGAATTTAGCGTCGGATAGTCGAAGGGAAAACGTCGGTGAATCTTCTTTATTTTTTTCCCTTTTTTTTTCTCTCGAGTTTCTCGCGCGTCTCACGTTAGACTGCTTCGACGAAATTGAATTAGGGAACGGTGACGTTTCACACCGATGCGCGTCGTTCGATTTCAGTTCCGCATGACGCAAACGTTGCGAACTTCGTCGGCATACTTTTCATAATGACACGTGCACGGTCGTTATTAACACGTCGAATGTCACGGGGGTCACCGGTGACCGGCACTTAACTTGGCGGTGACGTCATGGGGGCCATCGGTGACCGGCGCGCCCAAATTGATAGAAATATATATAATTTCAAACAAATGTCGATGTCCAAAATTTTGTATTATTACCATCGTCGATTCAATAATTATTATTATTATACACAAGAATTCACCCCCTGTCGCAATTAACATGTCGAACATGGTTATACACTGTAACTTATCTATTGCAGATAATATTTCAACATTGTATGTATCATATAAAAGAATATTCATCGTGGTGCCACGGACAATTTCTGTAAAAACGGCGTGGCATTCGACGTGTTAAACGACGAACGTCGTGCCGCGCGTTATGAATTATGCGACACGTATTACGCGTATTTGCGGACGCGAAGGAAGCGGCTCCGGCATCGGACGCTTTGTTTAACAGAAAAAAAAGAGCCGTCCGGCGCTTCGTAAGGTTCATCGAATCGTAGAAATGCCTGCGAATCGTTAAACGGAACCGCACGCGACTTATGCAACCAGTCTAGCATGATCTAACAAGTAATGCAATATACCCGCGTTATCGGCGAATCTGGAATGGCCGCCTTAATCATTTTTTTCGTTCGTACGAAACTTGCCTCGAAATCGGCTGAAAGCGGTTCGTCGGTTGCGCAATCGACGACGTTCATTATCGTCGATATATTAGCCCGTCGAGCTCCGATCGACGAAACGAGACGATTTTTAATTAACGTAACCACGCCAAAACTTGGCCGAGAGTCTGACATCAAGCGCGCGTGATTTCTGCTGATTTGAGAGCGTCTCTGGATCGAAATGGAGAAAAAAAAAGAAATGAAAAGAAAACGGTAGAGAAAATTACGAGAAGACAATATAGGATCGAATTATGCAAATTCGACGTAACAGAATGTTGCTAACAAAATGTTGCGCGCAGCCTTAATTGGTAACATAAGTCGTGCTCCGATGGGCAGACAATAATGGTCAGTGATTTGTTACCGCGGCTGAAATATAGCGAGGAATAACAATGGTAGTATCGTGGAAAAAGATCGTATTTCCATTATCTGGCAAACGGGAACCGAGTTTATCATCGGGAACGAGAGATACAGTGGCTCGCGAAGCTGCTCGAAAACCATTTAAAACGGAATAACTTTTTTTGAAATTGCACCAAACGATTGGAATTTCTTTTAAAATTCAGAGAGATTGGACAACGTCTAAGAAGTTCCCTTGGAAAGTCGCAATTATTTGAAATAACGAAAAAAATGTGAAAGCTCGATTTTCTTAAATTGACTAAATATAATATTTAATTATAACTAAATATTATAATAATAATAACTAATATTATAATATAAGTACCATTATACCTAATTATAACTAATATTATAATATAACTACCATTATATCTAATTATAACTAATATTATAATATTTAATTATAACTAAATATTTAATTGTCTAAATATTATAACATTTAATTGACTAAATATTATATCTAAAATCGACTAATAAAACTAAAATATAAAACATGTTCGCAAAATTTGTTTCCAGCTGCTCTAACATTTAAAAAGAATTCGCATCACCCGGTCCAATTTGAAAAAAATATTATTCCGCTTCCGAATGATGTTCGAACAGATTCGGGAGCTATTGTGCGCGCAGAGAAACGATTCTTATTGTGTGTGCCTCGTATTCACCGAAAGAAGGGAAACGCCGCGCGGCGCGGTAATGTTTATGTACGGTCAAGAACGATCGACGCGTCGTCGTGGATTCCTCATAACAAACAGCTGACGTTGCCGTGCTTGCGACGTACATTTGAATTCGTTGTATACGCAGCACGGGTCCAGACATGTTCGCCGCCTAGACGCTCCGCCTTGGTGCCAGGTGTGGACCTGGCTTAACGTATCTCCGGTGTCCATGAGGCACACGAGGTTAATATGGCCGCCAGTTCTCGACGCGTACGGAACCAGTTCCAGGATGAAACCGGTTTGGAACTAGTTTCCATTGGTTTTTCGGCCCCCTGCGAGACCGTGCCACGACCGAGATTGGCACTCGTGCCGGACTACTCTCGACGGTTGGAACGGAGGTTACGTTACCAGGGCACGCTAATATGGCCGATATTACAGAGCAAAAAGGTAAGAACCGAACTGTCCACAGAACAGTTCCATAAAACTAATCCGTGTCGCATAGTACCTACAAAATTGCCCGCAGTCGGCCCGAGTTTCCATCTCGCACGCCGTCGCGAACGTTCCGGAGATCCGCTTTTCTGCGCCTGTACACGGTTCGTCCATCGCTTGGCGCGGGAAAATCAAACGCTCTGCAGCCTCTTCCGCGCGCGAACCTAACCAATTTACGCTAAAAATCTGAATGTCGATTTTACTTCGATCGGAGCACCGGTTCGAGTCGCTTCTGACGTGTTCTTCTACTTTGTCCCCCCCCCAAAAGGTGACAACAAGCTCGACGGGCAAATGGAGATCAAGGTCGAGCCGACGATGCAGTGTTACGTCGAGGAGGAGCACGAGAACGGTTTCCCCGGTTTCGAGAACAACGGGGCGATACCGTCGAGCGCGGACGTCGGCGCTCTGAACCTGTGGACCAGCAAAGCGACCACGTGCTTGATCAGCCAGTACAAGAAATACCGGTCGATGGTCGGCCAGTCGACGCAGATCAGGAGCTTGAGGGAGATGTTCGAGATGATCTCCATCGAGATGCAGAACTACGGGTTCTACTTCAGCCCGCAGAAGTGCGAGAACAAGTGGCGTGTGCTCGAGCGTAAGTACAAGAACTTGGTGTTCCGGGAACGGCTGAAGAAGCCGGGCAGAATGCGGCATTACGGCCACTGGGAGCACAAGCGTGCCCTGGACGAGATTTTCAACGAGAAAAGGCGACACATGTACCTGGAGGAGGGCGAGTTCCCGTCGCCGGCCGGCGGCTCCGCGAAATCGTACACGTACATATTACCGAAACCGGCGTCGGAGGAGCAGCAGCAGGGCAGCACCGACCAGCCGAAACAGGACGATCCTCTGGCGGCGCCGACTTCGAACTGCGTCCCGAATAGCAAGAACGAGCTGTCGGACCAGAAGGGACCGTTGGTCGCGTTCTTCGACAGATTTTTGAACGAGATGACCAAGAACTTCGCCGTCGCCGAGAAGAACCGCGAGAAAAGGCACAAAGAGGAGATGAGCATGCGACAGAGCGAGCTCGAGGTGCAGAAAAGACTGTTGAAGCTGAAGGAGCAGAAGCTCGAGCTGCAAAAGTGTCAGATCATCGCTGCCGCTCAACACTTGCATTTGAACATGTGAAGACGACGCTATGGACGTTGTTTACCGAATGATTTTGTTTACCAAAAGGTGTATTTTTAAGGTAGCGTTTACTTTACGGACATAGAAGATATAACAAAGTGTAACATAATAATATAAATATTTATGCATAGAAGCGCAGCGTGTTCTTTCGTTTCTCTCTCGAAGCGAGCGGGATGGAGAAGATATTAGGAGATCCTGTGGACAAGTAACGGGACACATTTCGGTGGCTTTGAAATATTTTATTTTTATATCATTAATATAATTATTATTAATTATATTATATTATTATATATTATATGTTATATTAATATTATTATAATATATTATATATATAATTATATATTATTAATTATTATTAATGTAATTATTATATTATTATTAATATAATTATTAATATTATATAAATATTTATATAATAATAATAATAATATAATAATAATATAATTTTATTTATATAATATTATATATCAATATTTATACAATATTATTATTATATAAATATTTTATTTTTATTTATTTAAATATTTTATCGAGATCGCTTGCTCGTCTTTCAGGTACTGTTAATATTTGTTGCAGATACGCGTATAGGAAAATATCGCTAGAACCGTTGACCTTGACAGGACATCAGAGTCATCTCTGATGATATTTGTTTTACATAATTATCGAAAGTTGTTTTCCCATATCTCTTTCCACGGAGGACGTCTGGAATTATACGATTTGTTCGACCGGCCTTCCAGCGCGTGCAGTTTTACGACACCGCCTCCAGGTGGCAGCACCGTGCACCTTTCCAGCTCCATGATCCGTCGCCGGTGGATCACCGTGTCCTGTCTTTTCAACCGAGAAAAGAATCATCAGAATTTCGACCTTAATCGACGCACGCTGAAATCTGTTGTACAAAAAGACGAACAGAGAGAAGATCGACAGCGAAAGGATTGCGGTAACCGTGTACACGTAAACTCCTAAAGGAGTATCACGATTTTCCAGCAGGTCTAAAAAGCACGCGTACGCTCGCCCGCGCGGCCCATTATACTAAACGGCATAGTGCGCATGTTACGCGTACGCCCGCGTGCATCGTGTTACGGAGCGCAAAAACATCGCCGTTCTCTGTTTTTATTGTTCAAAGTTGGCCGGCGATCCCGCTGCCGCGGTATATTACTTTCGCTATGCGTTCTGCCTCTCGTGCTGCTAATGGCTCAATTTATTAAGCGGCGATTCAAAAGATCGCCTTCTCTCCCGGGCTACGTCGCATTGATATTGCACCTTCAAAAGATCACCGGGGGCTTGCCGGACCGACTCGACAGAGATTTATGACGCTTAAATACAATTTCATTATTCTATCTTATCGGATTAACAGAGATCACGGGCCCTGTTTTTGTTTCGTCCCCGTACCACCGGCGTATTTATGGACCATAGCGGTGCGAATGCGAATCATAAATTATTGAACCCCCTCGACGGCAACATAATAGCGGTATAATCGGGACGAGATTGTTTAACACTACAAACCAGCGAGCAACAACGGTCTGCGGTATAACCGAAGCGAGGGATTAAATCATTCGGAGATTTAAAAATATACGGAGATATTGGATCTGAAATGACCGTCGCGAACGGAGACAAAATAGGCTTGTTCGACGGGGGAAAGTCGAGCAGAGGGATTCAAACGACCCGGTGAGTCGTGTAATCCCGTGTACGTAATTAGCATTCCCGGTGCAGCGCTATTCAACGCGTGCCGTGATTCATCGAAACACCGTGAGAAAAAAAAAAGAGGTCCCGAGGAAAGTGAAATTGCCGTGTTCGATGGGGCTTTGGAACAATTCCAGTGGCGAATCCCTAGAATACGTTTCCACGGCTCCCCGGCAAACCGGACCGTTCCGCTTCCCTCCGAAGCACACGCAAACGAAACAAACGAGAATTTCTCGCGCGGCTTTACACCCAATTATCGGTATGCGCGCTTCGTTGAAAGAGGAACAAATAGGGTCGCGATCGGGTCGCGGTCGATAACGATGGATTAACCCCTTAATGCACAGTTATTTTGACAAAGGCCGGCCAAAAGAAATCAATTTTTTTTAATGTCGAAAAACACAATTTAGAACGTTTGTCTTGGCAAGAAAATTACAAAAATACAAAAATAATGGATATTTATACAATTGGTATGATTTTTAATTTTCAGAATATTACTATTATTGTTATTATTATTATTATTGTTATTGTTATTGTTATTATTATTGTTATTATTATTATTGTTGTTATTGTTATTATTATTATTGTTATTATTATATTTTATTTTACATTATATTTTAGTAAAATATATATTGAAAAATGAGCGAATCAGAATCTGAATATGTGAATACGCTGTCGGAAAGCGGCTCACAAGGAAGAGATAAGTCGTAAGTGATAAGTAGAAAAAGGATATATTTTATACTTGATTAAGTAAGTGTTATAGCTTACAATCCCATGTAAGTGATAAATATCAATAAAACGATTGTTTTTTTATTTGCTTTCACATTGTTGTCACATTGAATTATCTCGAGTGCGCACAGTTTGGCCAGTTTAGCGCGCTCGAGTTAACTCGAGCGTGCACGTTAAGGGGTTAATTTCCCGGGAACGATTTGCACGGAACGCATTCGCGACTTTTCGCCGTGAATTGTGCCGGACGAAGATTCAATTCGACGGTGTATTATCGCAAGGCGAANAAAAATAATGGATATTTATACAATTGGTATGATTTTTAATTTTCAGAATATTACTATTATTGTTATTATTATTATTATTGTTATTGTTATTGTTATTATTATTGTTATTATTATTATTGTTGTTATTGTTATTATTATTATTGTTATTATTATATTTTATTTTACATTATATTTTAGTAAAATATATATTGAAAAATGAGCGAATCAGAATCTGAATATGTGAATACGCTGTCGGAAAGCGGCTCACAAGGAAGAGATAAGTCGTAAGTGATAAGTAGAAAAAGGATATATTTTATACTTGATTAAGTAAGTGTTATAGCTTACAATCCCATGTAAGTGATAAATATCAATAAAACGATTGTTTTTTTATTTGCTTTCACATTGTTGTCACATTGAATTATCTCGAGTGCGCACAGTTTGGCCAGTTTAGCGCGCTCGAGTTAACTCGAGCGTGCACGTTAAGGGGTTAATTTCCCGGGAACGATTTGCACGGAACGCATTCGCGACTTTTCGCCGTGAATTGTGCCGGACGAAGATTCAATTCGACGGTGTATTATCGCAAGGCGAAGGAGACGGCCGTTCGATTGAGCTCTCTTGGTCGCGGCGATGTTGCGCTCGGTTCTCGATTCCGTACCGGACTGCCTTGGTGTCACCTTACATTATCCAGCGCATGACGATTATACGTTTGGAATTTTGAAAAAATCCATTCCTGTTACGCGGCGTGTATCGGGGGAACAGGTAGCAGCCAGCCCCATAGCTCTCCAGCAGATCCTTTCGAATTAATTTCAAGCGTTTCAACGGCTCCTATAAAATTACACACGTCTTACAGATTCTACTCCCATCTTTGATAGTTCGACGGCCATTTCGTCCTCTCGTCCGAACAAATATAAACAACGACTCGAAAGAGTTCAACACGATCTCTCCGAAAATGCAGGCTCCAAGATTAGGCAAATAATGACTTTCGTCGACCATACTCTTGTGCTCCGATTACGTCCACGATTAGCAAACGATCTCTCGAAACAAGGCGTACTGTCACCGATTTAGTGTTTTCACGCTGCCCGGAATTAGCAACAACAAATTCATATGAACCGTCAAGATCATCGAGAGACCTATTTTAATGTTTCATCCATCTTTCTATAATTCTGCAATCGGCAATTCTGACCCCTGAAATCGTGCCCGCAGCTATAAGCCAATGCAAATTGTTTGAATGCAGGAACGAACTGCATTCGTTTGGACTTTTTTACGAGCAGTGCATGCAGCTTCGAAAATTTCGTGCACAACTTGACGCAACAAATTATAACACGGTTCGTTTAAATCAGGGGTGTCGAACTCTCGCGGCCCGAGATGAACGTTTTTGCGGCCCAGTCGATATATCCGACGCAAAGTAAAAATGAGATAGAAATGTGAATTAGAGATTTTGAAAGTAGTCTCGGTCGATAAAATTTCTCCCGAAGTAGGAAAGATGGTATCGGAGAAGAGATGTCAAGTATCAGGACGTAAACAATAATTTAACTTTATATAGGTTTATTACAATGCACTAGTCAAAATAAAAATATTTGTTTCTATGAACATTGATTTGTTTTTTTTTGCGGCCCACCATATTTGGCCCATGTTAAAACATATATAAAGTTAAATTATTGTTTAAATAATTTAACTTTATATATGTTTATCACAATGTACTAGTCAAAATAAAAATATTTGTTTCTACGAACATTGATTTCTTTGTTCTTGCGGTCCACCTAAAGTTAAGCATTGTTTATTTGGCCCAAGTTAGCTTTTGAGTTTGACACCCCTGGTCTACGCGGTTCTTACTACCGAAGCATACGGATACGAAGCCGCGCGCGCGCGCGCACGCTAGAGCGAGCGAGCGTCAAGAAACGACAAAGGGCAAACAATTTTATAAACCGTCGCGGGAGCTTTTCGGGAAAAAATCGGTGAAACCGGTTACACCCGCTCTTTGCTGTATCCGTACGCACGGACGGCGATGTGTGTGTGCGCGTGTGTGCGTGTTGTTGCACACGACACAGGCACACCGGCCGCGGTAAGAGTTAACACGCGAGCACGTGCAGGTACGTGGGTATAACAACTTTTGCGACTTACGTTAATAACCTCCTGAATTTCGAAAAACGATCGCCGAACGAAAATACACGGCATCGCCATTTATCACGCCTCGCGAATCTCCGATATTCGAGCCGTTCACTCGCCGGATCACGTAACTTCCTTACCTGTAAATTAAAATTTACACGTGAATTAACATTGTTAGTGCCGAACACGTCTGGAAACACCTTTTAAAAGCACGTTTTCAATTTTCTAAGTTCTCCGAGCATGTTCAATATATTGAACACGTACAATATATATATATATTAGTATATATTATTATTATATACTATATATACTACAATATATCTTATCTCTCTCTCTCTCTCTCTCTCTCTCTCTCTCTCCATATATATATATATATATTATATATGTATTATTATATACAAATATAAATATTATATAATATATATATTAATATATATATTGAAAAACCAATGGAGGGAGGGGAGTATTGATATATATATCAATACTCCTCCCCTCGTTGGTTTTTCAACTCTTTTTATAACGATTACGGAATTAATTTAGGTAAAAATAGGTGTACACGGGAGACCGGCGAAGGCGGTGTCAATAAAGTCCTCGGGAACGTTCTTTTTATATCTGTTCCGAAGAGGGGCAACGTATTAATCTTTCTTAGAAGACTATGAAGTCATCGCCGACAGGTAAGGCTGGAAAAGGTGGGACAAATGAGGGTTAAGTTCGCGAACAAAGTTCGCGTCTATATTTAGTCGGTGAGGTTGTCGGACTTGGCATAAACAACCCAGATAGAAGCGGCTAAACGTAGCGCAATGTGGATGGGATAAATAATTAATAAAAATCCGGAAGTCGATATACCCGGTGTTCCGTCGGTTGCGGCGCGGCCTGTCCGCGTCGAGTGACTAAGGAAAGTCTTTGTGCACGCTAAATTTTCGGTTTTCCGTTTCAATTTCGTAGAAAGCAATCGTACGACAATAAACATGGACGTGTGAACCTGCAACACGTTCTTTCTGGAAAATGTCTGACGAACTTAAATGTTTATAAATACATTGGAAAATTTTCCCCGCGATTGTACCCAACATAGATTTGAAGATCGTCGCCTCTCCTTTACGACGACTCCTTAAATTTTGACGTACGATCTTTTTTAGTCATTTTACTGAACTTTGAACAGAGGCTGTATTTTACAGCAATACAAGGTACACGAGAGGTTCACACAAATGAACTTGTTCCCGGTTTCTGTTCCACAGAACGATTCAAAAATATCGTACATCAAATTCCGAGGAGTCGTTATAAAGAAGAGATTTCAATGTTCAAATCTACGGTAGATCCGTTCGCGAGAAAAATTTTCTTGTATCCTCGCAGGCGTTTCAATTTACAGCATTTTCGAGTACAATTTATCCTTCGGTTTTCCGTCTGCTGCATCGCGTGGGATCGCGTTAAGAAAAATTGACCGCTGAATTACGAAGACGGTGATCTCGAGCTTTGAAACGAATCAGGATTCGTTCGGTGCGACTCGCTTCAACGAGATTACAAAAGCTTAAAATATCAACGCGATTCGCCGTGATTCGTAAATTTCCTGTACTTTCTACAGCCACTGTACCGGAGAACCGAGGTGGGCCGAGGCGGCGGGTTGCGCGTGGGGCGCCGGTGCGGTTGGGTACGGGCGTGAGAATACGGCGGGTAATAGCGCGGAGGCGGCCAGTCGTCCAGTCGAGCCGCGACCACCGAGCGGTGAGCGTATTTCTCTCCTGTCGGTTTCCACTGCGGCAATCAACAGCAGCAGCAGCAGCCTAGCAAAAAATAAAAAAAAAGGAAAACAAGGAAGGGAGATCAATCCGACGGCAGCGGTGCATCGAACGAGATGAGCTTGTACCTGAGCTAACTGGTGCAGGAGCAGGAGGCAGAACGAAATTTCTCGTCGAATCGAGCCCCACGGGCCCGCTGGGGAAGCTCGCGTGCACGGACGTAAACAGAGGGCGAAGGAGGACACGCGATTCGTCGGTGCGTGTCCACGCACGCGTAAAACGCGTTCCCTGCGATGCACCGTACGCAACGTGCATCCGCGCGCTATAGCGATTCTTCGTGCAATTAGACCCGCGTGACCCGTGTAAGTTTATTGCGCGGCGGACACCGTTTTCCATGTGCCAGAGAGAGCCCCGCCGCGCCGCCGAAACCAGAGGCCTACTAGCGGGTGGCTGCGCGCTGTCAACCCTGGGAACCGGGGACGGACCTTGAGAGCGAAACATTGACCGGATCTGCCTGAACGCCGATCCTCGGACACAATAAGCTCCCCCGTAGCCCGAATAGTGTGCATAGCTCTCTCTCACTCTCTCGCGCGCGCGCCGCTGTGTAACGTTACGTGTCGCGAACAGAGAGGGACACCTAGCTGCCAACGGTTTTTCACCGCGTATATGCACCGCGTCCCCAGGCCTGCATCGCGTTTTGCGGCACGTTGTGGGCCCCGAAGGCTCTCCGTCTAAGTAACAGTACTTCCTCGCGCTCGCTGGAACAAGCCTCTCTCCGAAGAACGGGACCCACACTCCACGAGCCCGCTCTCCGCACGCTGCTTCCCGCGCCCCCTTCCCCGGCCTCCTCCTCCTCCCGCCGCTAGGCCTCTTTCGACCGGCACACACTCTCTTTCTGTGTGCCTGTCACTCTTTCTCTCTCTCTCTTGCTCCTTTTCTCCCTCCGCGTCTCTGCCCCTTCCCGAGCCCGAAGTAGTCTGGCCGGTCGGGCACGGGTAGTCTCGTGAAACCAGTCCTCGTACGGTGGACCTCTCGGTTGGGACCTGGCGAAGTGAGGAGAGGTCGCTCGCATCTCGCCGCGCGTAAACCGGCACCGTTTGCACCTGCCGCGCGATTCCAAGTTTTTCGGCGATCACGCGTGAACGTCCGTCGGATCCGTGCGAGAGCCGTTCGTTCGTTCGTTCGTTCGTTCGTCCTGTGGGTGCCGCCGGTGGTGTTCCACGAAATCCTAAATCGGACCTCGGTCCGCGAAGAAAAGGAGTACGTTCGTTCGTTCTCCGGTTTCGGCCGGTTCTACGCCGCGCGAGACTGTGGCCGGGGAATCGGTAACACGGTCCCCCCCGAGTACAGGCGTCGTCGTCGCGTGTTTATCCACGGGAACCAGTCCTGCCGGTCAGAAGGACGCCGCCGATCGGGTAAGTGGCACGCTTTTGCGCCGTCGGACCCGACGTCACCCGAAGATACCCGGCGCAGGGGATCGCTCCGACGACGGGCTGCCGCACAGCCCGGCCTGGACGGACGTGGAAAGGGGGAGCACCGGCGGCGTGTTTCGCGCCAAAGAATAAGACCAGTGTGTTCACGTGTGTGTGTGCATCTGTGCGTACCGGCGGCGGCTCGGAGGAGGAGTGGGGGAACGGTTACGGACGACACGCAGCCGAACGAGCGCGCGCACCCTGTTACGCGACACCGTGATGCTGGTGACAACGCGCGCACCATTTAAACCGTGCCCGTCGAATATCTGCTGGACGTCGAGCAGCAGCGTGGCCGAGCGAGAGATTCGCGGCTGAGAAGAGAGGACACTTGTCACAGTGGGTCGTCGTACGTCGACGGCACGTGTGAGTGTCGCGTGTAAAGAAAACACCGCCGCCGCCATGACAGTCGGAGCGCGCCGAGGATAAGAAGGTGCGCGTCCTGCTGCTGAGAAAATGAGCCAGTATTTCGTCGCGGACGCCACGCTCGCAGGATCATCCGGCTGGTGAAGCACACGCTAAGAGAGAGAGAGAGAGAGAGAGGTGTCGGTCTCTCTCTTTCTACTCCCCGCGTCTCGACCTAACCTCTCCAAGTGTGTCTCGAGAGCCCCACTAATCTAATTCGTGCCCGTTACCTTCGCGGCGGCTCTCGATGGAAGCGGTTCCGCTCGACTGATTTTCAGCGTGGATCCTCGTAGATCTCGAAGTCCTCCCGAGAAACGACCGCCAGAGAATCCGTACCGGCCATTGTCGTCGCAACGGCCGTTTAAAGTGCTCGACAGTTGTTGGTGCGCCGCGTTTCGTTCGACCTCTCCGCCGCCGCCGCCGTCGCCGCCGCCGCGCAGTTCGCTCGCGCTGTTAGTGCGCAACCTATCGCGCCGGTCGCGGTTAATTTCGATAATCGAAAGCGAATCGATTCACGCGAGAGATTAACACGGTGCAGTGATCGCGCGGTACGCTCGGTGCTCGTCTTTTCTCTCTGATCCCAGCGGTTTCTGTGCGCGACCCGCACTACTCCTTGTGTTCGACCAGTGATTCGTCGGGGCTTTTAATTTATTCTTCTGTTGCCGCGCGCGTTTGTGCCACTGTGCTCTCTAACATCGAAACGGATCGATGGATCGACGCTGAGGAACCGAATCTGCTTCGAAGAACTCGCGGGGAACACCAGCCAGCCAAATGAAGACCACACAGCGCGCGCTAAGGTGAGTCTGCCCACGTCGCGCGCTTAACCTTTTATGCAATTAAAAATCTTTCTCCCGTTACGATGTCATTAATCTCCGGCTAAGAAAATTAGTCGACTTCGTTTTACTTCGTCGAACATCCGTAACAAGAGATGAAACGCCTATGGCACAGCCGGCGTCCATTAGCGACGTTAGCTTTTTAATACCTTTTGCGTTCGAGGATTTTATGATATTGAAAATGTTATCATTCGACTACTGGATGTGTACTGGATCGTACATCGAGATTCTGAATATATACTGGCAAAGAGAGGAACGTGTAAACACCGATGTTTAGTTCGGGTAATTGAATTCTTTGCGACTGTGGCCGTTCAACGCGCGAGCCAGGTGTTATCAATATGGCGGCTGGTATATAGGATAATGAGATCGACATTCGCGTTTGACAACTAATAGTAATAATATTTAGCCGAATATTTAGCCAGTATTACATTTAGCAAAGTGTACCGTAAAAGCGGAGAACTCGCGAGTTCTTCGAAAAATAATTGATTGCTATGGATCTGAGCGAGTCCTGCGCCCGTAAACAGGTGTCGTCCAGGATTTTTTAGCGAATTATTTTTTATATATTATTAGCGATATTTTAGCGATTATTTTCGCTTCCAAGAGAGCCTGCGAGACCAGTGAGTCATCATGGACGAAATCTGGTTGTTTTTTTCCTTCCACTGATGTTTACCTCGAGTAATTGAATTCTTTGCGACTGTGGCCGTTGAACGCGCGAGCCAGGTGTTACCAATATGGCGGCCGATATATAGGATAATGAGTTCGACATTCACATTTGACAGTAATAATATTTAGCTGATAGTAATATATTTAGCAAAATGTACCGTAAAAGCAGAGAACTCGCGAGTTCTTCGAAAAATAATTGATTGTTACGGATCCGAGAGCGGGTCCTGCGCCCGTAAACGGGTGATGTCCACGATTTTTTAGCGTTATTTTCGTTTCCAAGTGGACCTNGGATAATGAGTTCGACATTCACATTTGACAGTAATAATATTTAGCTGATAGTAATATATTTAGCAAAATGTACCGTAAAAGCAGAGAACTTGCGAGTTCTTCGAAAAATAATTGATTATTACGAACCTAAGCGGGTCCTGCGCACGTCAACGGGTGTCGTCCAGGATTTTTTAGCGTTATTCTCGTTTCCAAGAGAGCCTGCAAGACTAGCGAGTCACCGTGGACGAAATCTGGTTGTTATTTTCCTTCCACCGATATTTATTTCGAGTAACTGAATTCTTTGCAACTGTGTCCGTTGGACGCGCGAGCCAGGTGTTACCAATATGGCGGCCGATATACAGATCGACATTCACGTTTGACAACTAATAGCAATAACATTTAGCCGACAGTATCACATTTAGCACAATGTACCGTAAAAGCGGAGAACTCGCGAGTTCTTCGAAAAATAATTGATTGTTACGGATCCGAGAGCGGGTCCTGCGCCCGTAAACGGGTGATGTCCACGATTTTTTAGCGTTATTTTCGTTTCCAAGTGGACCTGCGAGACTAGTGAGTCACCGTGGATGAAATCTGGTTGCTTTTTTCCTTCCACCGATATTTATTTCGAATAATTGAATTCTTTGCAACTGTGGTCGTTGAACGCGCGAGCCAGGTGTTACCAATATGGCGGCCGATATGTAGGATAATGAGTTCGACATTCACATTTGACAGTAATAATATTTAGCTGATAGTAATATATTTAGCAAAATGTACCGTAAAAGCAGAGAACTTGCGAGTTCTTCGAAAAATAATTGATTATTACGAACCTAAGCGGGTCCTGCGCACGTCAACGGGTGTCGTCCAGGATTTTTTAGCGTTATTCTCGTTTCCAAGAGAGCCTGCAAGACTAGCGAGTCACCGTGGACGAAATCTGGTTGTTATTTTCCTTCCACCGATATTTATTTCGAGTAACTGAATTCTTTGCAACTGTGTCCGTTGGACGCGCGAGCCAGGTGTTACCAATATGGCGGCCGATATACAGATCGACATTCACGTTTGACAACTAATAGCAATAACATTTAGCCGACAGTATCACATTTAGCACAATGTACCGTAAAAGCGGAGAACTCGCGAGTTCTTCGAAAAATAATTGATTGTTACGGATCCGAGAGCGGGTCCTGCGCCCGTAAACGGGTGTCGTCCACGATTTTTTAGCGTTATTTTCGTTTCCAAGAGAGCCTGGGAGACCGGTGAGTCAGCGTGGACGAAATCTGGTTGTTTTTTTCGTTCGTTCGGTCAGATGCGTCTGGCCAGTTCCCTTAGCGAATGCTCATCGGCGAGCGGCCCGCCGTGTGTCTAGTTACGCTTTACGTCCTCCTGTACAGTTAACGATAACAGTGCTCGTCGTAGCTCGCAATAAAAGCACGTTCGTATAACGAGGAACGTAACGAGCCGCGTTTGTTCGGTCCACTGAAACGTTACGGCTGTAACTGTTGATGCTGTAACGGGCGCGCGCAAATAGAAACGTGTTCGGTCGGTCTAGGGGAAAAGTCGCCCTAGAGAGCGGCCGGCCCGACGAAGGAAACTCTCATCGTAAAGTTCTTCGAATCGTGACGCGCGATCGAGAAAAACGTTTTACTTGCTGGGAGCATAAACGCGGTTTAATACATTCGAACTGCATAAACCAGAATATCAAAGCAGATTACGGGCGCTGTTCGCGCGCTCACGACGTTTCGATTCGACTCTCGTACCCGCGGAAGTGGAAAGAATATTCCGTCGTTACAGTGTTTTTCTTTTTTTTATGAAATCGACCGCAATTCGTCGACGGGAATTCGTCTCCGAATCCGGACGAATTTCGTATTCTTTGCGTGCTCGGCGAACGAACGGCCGCCAGTCGCTGTTCGCGGCGCGAAGATTCGCAGCGATTCGCCGGCGGTTTAATCCGATTGCCACGCCGGTTAGGCCATCTCATTTTCAAGGAATGTGTCCGTAGGTGGCGAGACGGTGGCGTCGCGTTGACATTTACATCATCCCGTAACATCTCCGGATGCACTTTTCCGCGGCGCGTCCACGCTCGAATCGCAGGTGTTTACAACGCGCCGCATTTTCGAGAGGATTTCGCAAAGGCGGAGAGAAAAAAAGGAGGGGAAAAACCGGGTTCCAGGGAATGATTAATGCGGTCGTTTCGTAAGAACGGCCGGGTCCGTTCGTCTCCCGGCCTTTAATCACGGGATTAACTTCAGCCCGTCCGGTAAGGCGCGCGCGCGCGCGTTCACGCTGGGCCACTGATAAATTAACAGGTAGCCGGGTTACAATCGAAAGCTACTTACGCCGCCGCGTCTTCGTCGCTTCGGAGAACCGTTCGCGAATATCGTCGGTCGCCAGGAATTTCGCCGTGAATAGTTGTCCGTTATTCCGTACCCTGCGTGCGCGCTTTTCACAGAAAATCGCTATAGAAATGACGGCAACAACTTTAATGTGCTAAGCTGTATAGTTTGTCCTCGAAGAAACCGTTCGCCGAACATTTTACCATTACAATGTATGTTATATAGACGAACTTCGCACATGATCGACGCAACATATTTTTTAATTATGTTTAGTGCTTCTATGCTCGACATAATAGAGAAAAACTTGTGATAGTCATCAGAAGAAATGATCTAACAAGATTCACGACTTAGTAAATTCTATATTTCAATTATACGGGGTGTTCCGAAAATGTCTCGCGATCTGGAAATGGGAGGTTCCTGAGGTCATTTGAAGCAACTTTTTCCTTTGCGAAAATTTTCTCCGACGCTTCGTTTACGAATTATTAACGAAAAACACTGACCAATAAGAGGCGAGCTCGGCTGGCGCGCGGCGGCCCAGCCAACGAGTGCACGGAGCCCAGTTCCGCTCATTGGCTCGGCCGTCTCGCGCCAAATGATCTCGCCTCTGATTGGTCACTGTTTTTCGTTAATAACTCGTGAACGAAGCCGCGGATCGCATTTTCGCTAAGGAAAAAGTTGCTTCGAATGACCTCAGGAATCTCCTACTTTCGGATTGCGAGACATTTTTGGGACACCCTGTACGTATAATTACAATCGAATATTGAAAAATTGTTGATATTCCATAAAGTAGTGTCTGATTTTCCAGTTTGAAGTTTTTAGTTTCAATAACCTGGAAAACAGAAAAGATCATAATACAAATTAGCTAAAGTTATGACATGTGGCGAACATTTTGGGGAAAGTGCCGCTGTGCGACGTTGCCTGTTCGCTTATTTCTGCATCTTCTCGACAGATGGTGCAACATTTGTTTCCCAACAATGTTTAATTAATATAGCAAGCAGCAGGCTTCGGTCCGCTTCTGTGAAAAGGTGAAAACTAGTCGTCCCACTGTGGATGCGTTCGATTGCTACATGATCGAACCGGATGCTTTTTTTCCCTCTTGGAGCTTTCGCGGACCCGCCACCTCCAGCAGGTCCGTTTCTTTTTCGGCCACCGTGGTCGAACGATGGTAATTGCCGTAGGAGTAGCGGGTACTTTTTTCGTTCTCCGTTCCATTTCACGAGTTCCGTCGGGCCATAGGGAAGAGGCCCGAGCCGTTGTTAGCACAGAGGGCCAGATAAGATAGGATAAGAGCGTGCAGACAGCTATGTAAATGCAAAGTGTGGCTCGCATCGCTCGCGTCAGGGTATGCATTGAAAATGTCAGGTGTGCTCGCCGGTTGAACACTCGTCGATCGTCGTCTCGTCTCGTCTCGTCTCGTCCCGTCGGTGTCGCAGGCTGCCGCCTGCGGAACACCTGCGCCGACAAATTGAAATGCTAATTCGAAAAGCCCGTGGTTCTCGCCGGTTTTTGGATCCATTGGCGTGTGACCCTGAAAAACGATTTTCTGGCCGTTGATCCCCGGTCCATGGGCTTCGGCTTCGAAAATTCGATGGTGTCACGTTTCATCCGCGGCTTCCTGGGAGAGCCTTTCTCTCCCTCAATTTCTCTCTCTCTCTCTCTCTCTCTCTTTCTCTCTTTCTTTTGGTCAAGAAGGATTAAATTCCCGAG